GACAGTGGTGTGAAACTCAATCATGAAATTTATATATAGAAAACTTAATAATTGAATAGCTTCACAGTCCAAGTTCCATTTTGGCAGCAACCTGAAATTAATCTTACAGCAAGACTGCACAGGTCCATAGGAAGGTAGAAGCAGGATCGGTGTTGGACTGTTAGCCGCCTGCGTGCCAGATATTTATTTGGCCGCCCCTACCAATGCTGATCGCGAGTAATTTCAAAATCTAAGTATGTTAAGAGGGGTAAAATATCATCAAAATATTTGATATATATTTGTACTATATAAAAATATTTGTACTATAAATTTGCCAGGCTCACGACGATAGATAACGGATTCGCATCACATATGCCAAATACAGTATTAATAGTCATACACAAGGGTTGACCGTTTGATTCATTCCTTTTAGTTAGAACATGTTCTAACTAAAAAGAGAGAAAAGAAAGTGTTCATCCAAAAGTCACCTTACAGTCTTTCTTTGAGCACAATTTCTTTTATTTGGAAATGGGCCACTTTGGCAGGAGTATCCATAGAATCTGCCAGCTTCATATACTGGTCTCAACAATCGGATGGCTGCTGTCCAAATCTAGACGTAATCATGCACACAATTTCTTCCAAGGAAACTCTAGTTATCTTCCAACTCTGTCAAGAGACCTCGAAAAATTGTCTGGGGATCTTTCTCTTTTTGCTTTTAAGGGGATTGTTTTGGTCCAATACAGACAAGGTTAATAGCTCATGTTCAAGTCTGCTTCAGATGGGATTCCCATGTGATATGTCTTGTTATGCTGACCCCATCGGAAAAATGGAACTGCTGGAGCAAAAGACATATGCCGATTTGTCTCAGCCAATCGTTAGGCCTACATGACATTAGTGTATGTAGTGTCTACATATTTTTGGAAGATCCTTAAAATATATCAAAACTTGCTAAATTTTTTTTCTGCTACCATCCCAATTAAGCAAAAAGTTGTCCCAACTAAACAATTAAATTCTGTTTTAATTTATTAGTTTGCTTTTTGTTCTTTCAGATTTGGCCCAATAAAGTGGCTGCCCAATTAACTGGTGGCCAAGACTGGTGCCCATTAACCCATTAATGATGGTAAACAGAATTGACTGTATATACTATACAGTGAAAAACAGTAATAATGATACATCCATTATATTATATTAAAATATTGCTTTAGTAATGATAATAATAACTCTCCCGTGGTCACCACCTAGTCATGGTGGGAGAGCCCAGTAATTTTACTGAACCATAGAGCAATGCAGGCTGGAGCATAAGCTCCTGGTAGGGACACCCATGCCAGTAACGTCTATGGGGAGAAATGAAGCTAAGAGTGACCACACACCCACATTCTGTGGAGAAATTTATGATGGTAGTAACCAGATCAAAGTATGATACCGGCTCGGACGTCGCCCGGGTTAACAAGGTCCGCGTTCGTGGGTTAGGCAGAGGCTCACGTTCGAAAAATAGGCTCCAGTCTCCCTTGGTTACCAGTGGCGAAAGCAGCACTGGCCCAAGTATGGCTACTGCAATGCCCTCAACAGATGTGAGGAACCAACCTAGCCTTGGTGTTTCTGTGGCAAT